CGCTGTGATTACCACATGATAATTATATCCATTTGGAAACATGCCAAGTACACACGCTGTGTGTAAAACTTTCAGCATTTCAGTTATCACCTAAAAAGTCACAGTGACAACACACGGGAATAACCGTACAGCAGAGGTCACTGGATGAACAAAAAGGAAGGTTTAATATTCATCAGAACCAACGACCACATTGATTACTGGCATGTATCTGTATTTACCACTGTTTTTTTGTTTTTTTTCAGTGTTCAAAATTCCGATTCCGATTCTTTTAACAGCTCACCTTCTAATATACATAGCTTTAGGTTTTAGGGTAAGTTCATACATTTCTCACTATAAATGTTACAGGATGTGGTTTGTGACTCAATCTTTAATTTACATATTTAATTTATTTGTGACTCAACTGACAATCCACAGGCCTAGCTGCCAGTTGTATGGTCTTGTTCAATCGTTGCTGATTGCAGTGTAGTACAGTGTGTCTCTAACTGCACTCTTTCAGTCTGAGAATCTCTGCTGGATGGTCCTGTTTTGTATTAGAGCAGGCACTCATTAAAATCTTGCATTGTTCGCTGAGCCCTTCTATCTGTGGTGCAGATGAATGACAGACAAATAAACCAGGCAGCATGGAGAGAGAAATAAACTCTGAGTCATACATCCTTCTACATCTCTTTGATGTAAAACTTTTTCAGTTCTCTGGCCAAGACTAGAGGGATTCATTTTGCATTTTTATAGCTAATTGTAATTTGTGGTGTCTAAAATGGCTGACATTACACCCAACTGCCAACACCTGGTAACTGTATGATCCTATTGACCCAATCAAATGGGACAGAAAAAAACATGTTTTTGTTTTTTTACCGGCCACGATGCTGCCCCCTGTACTTTATCGACATGCTGCCTTGGTTGGGATTTCGAGCGGTGCGGACGTTGTTCCGACGACAAAGACAATTGCGAAAAAAGCAAAAAGGGAGAAAAGGCTGAGCCTTAAAATCCAAACACAGATTTGTCTGCAAAGGCCATGAGGAATCATGAATGCTGGCTTTTACAAAAGCCACTGTAACATAGATCTGGTTGGCATTAGACGGTTTGAGTTGATTTTCTTCCCTGAACTCAAGGAATGTTGTGCACTCCATGTCAGCTAAATCTGCAAATGATGACCATATGACCTTCCTCAGTGTTCTCTGGCAGAGGATTTTAAGATGTGGGAGGCACACTCACATAAACATAACATCAACAGTGGCTGCACTTACCAACCCTGTACAGTATAGTATTCCCAGTTCATGAGAACTGCATGGGTGCATTCTCCTGTCTGCAGAGGGGAGTGGGCACTATGTGCTTACTACATTGTGTGAGGGATGAAAGGCAATATGCCTGGCCTCATTAGAGCAGTTCCGAGAAGGGAGATGGACGACTGTTCCCATGGATCTACAAAGGGAATTGACATTCACTGTTGTAAGAGTGTTGGTGTAGTGTAGTGTATTCTGGCTTTACAAATGGAGCTTTTTACCTTTGTGTTGCCTTCCATCACACACGCCTGAAAAATTAATTCCATGCAGTGAGGTCTGGATTGCACTCTGCCTGCAGACAAATCATTTCTAGAGAAACATCAGACTTTCAGATTAAGGTGCAGCAAGTACCCTGCATTACACTGGTTTTAACGAGCTCTCAAGGTATCATAACAAAGACACACCCCCAAAATATTAAATGAGCAAATTGTGTTAATTTCCAAACTGAATAATTTAAGACTGTACTGGACCAACACAAAATCCAGAAGAGTACAAACAATGCGTCTGCTGCTGCACACGTACAGAAATCAGTCTGTGCTCATACACTGTGCTTTATTGATTAGTAAAACATCTGTATGTTACATTCACGATTGGCTCCACTTCTACTCTACTGAGAATGTCTCTGTGTCTGAGTGTATTTCTACTCAGTGTCTGGTCCTAATAAGACAGGACCTCGTTTCTGAGGCTTGAGTTATGTTTTAGCAGATGATGTGAATTGTGGTGGAAGTTAGGCAATCAGAGGTTATGGTTATGTTTCTTGAGAGGTAAAGCTTTGGAGTGGAGATCAATCTACAACAGGCACATCAATGGCTGGCACAGTTTATGTCTTGTCATTTTAAATGATTCTCTTGGTTGGTTTGTAAGGGAATCCTACATGCTTGAGCTTTAAACGTACATAGAAGAACAACATTGTTTAGCCCACAGACAGAGTCCAGCCTACCAGCAGTCCTCTTCTGGGCTCCAGAACCAAGACCTGGTGGTACAGTAGTAATAATGCAACCAAACTTCTAAGGCTCCGTCTGAAGTACTTTGTATTAGGTGAATTGTAGTCAGTTGAAGTTAAAAAGGTGCCTAAAGTTTGGCACATGACACTTTCTGATATAAACACTACAGTGAGCAGCACCAGTCATTTGTTTAAGATTAAAAGATGTGGCTAATGGGGTCAGACATTCTGAGGCTCTGGTTTAGGCTAGAGATCAGATCATAGGTTGTTAATAGGAAACTTACTGAGTTATCACCGTTGCAGCCTGGAGCTGCAGATTCATGCACCAGAAAAATAATGCTCATCTGGTTTTTGGAAGAAATTAATGTATGAGACCAGCAAAGACGATTCTGTTGTATTTGGATGTTACTGAAGACAGAAAAACAGGTTCTACTTATGCTTCACAGAGCAATACTCAGCTGAACAACCTGTGGGCAGGTAGACGGTTGAATGGAGTCGTAGAATCAGTCAAGGACATAAAACACCCACACTTCAACCTATAAACATGTTGATGTGTGTGCCTCTCCTGAGTACCACACATTTGTTTTTCTCCCAGGTGCTAGTATACAGGTTTGTAATAAAATGTCTGTTTTCTTTAGCAGCGGGTTACTTTAAACCACACTGCTCAGGGGAACAACTTACAGATTGTTGACTAAAAAAAGTTGCTGTAGCGCATTCTGGGAAATGCAAGTTTTTAGTTTTGTAAATGATTGTAAGGGAAAAGTGTTATATATATACTGTATAAATATATATATGGATTTTTTATTAATATACATGGATTTATTATTTTTTTATTTATACCTTAAATAAATCCCATAGTCTCACATTCAAGTTTCAGGTCTTCCTCAAAAGAATGTGATATACATTTTGTAAAAAAAAAAATCCCAAATTAATGCATTAAAAATGCAAAATCCAATGAATCCATTTACATGATGTTATACACCTATACAACACTAAAACTACTAAACATAACTAAATGACTGCGAGAAATTTAAATCGTATTTTTCATTTCTCACCACTAAATATAAATCAAGCACTTTGGTAACAAGAAAGTGCGTGAAACAATTGATAAAATATGAAATGGCATATAAATAAAATGATTCAAGTATGAATAACTGCATCTTTCTCCTTCAGTAATGTTAAATCATAATGGGCTGCTGAGTTGTTATAGGAGTGTTACATTGGGCAGCAGCCCCCTGGAGCCCAGCGTTTACACTGACCCCATGTGGTAACACAACGCAGAGACCGGGCACTTGGTATAGGCCGTGTCAATAAATTGGCTCATAACACCTACAGTAATTCCCTTACAATTCATAAACTGCCCTTTAATTCATACCACGCCCATCTCGTGTATATTAATAAAACACTATGAACACACTGTCAGAGAAAAAGAGACATAAGAGAAGACATCGTCTAAGGGTGGTGTTAATGGAGTGGACGTCATGGGGTGATTGACAGCTGGACAGTAAACCAAACACAGTAATCATAACGGGGTCACATCACTGGTGACATACAGATGTACCAAGCAGACAACAATTAGACAATATGGCTGTCACACATCACATGTGGTGACCAATCACATTCACTTGCCAATACTTTATTTCCACCATTTATTTTCTGGCTTTGAATTTAAAAAAATGACTCAAAACTGAGATATGAAACAGATGGAGATTTTAAAAAAACAACAACAACAAATAAACAAGGAGGTTGTTTGATTTTACCCAGACAGTTTTCAACACGTGTTTAGTTTAGTTGTCCTGTACACTTCTGAGACCAGCAGGGCACTTCCAAGTGACTTCTGTAGCGTTGACAGCATAGAGACGCCAAGTTTCTTACACGCAGTCTGTGTATACAACCCAAGTACTGCCGAATGCAGTGAAGTACTACTACACTGACAGGCCCTGCAGAGGACACTACTCTGCCCATTTCACAACCTGGACAGTGTTTTTAATATACAGCCTATTAATGAATGGAAGTCAATGCTGAGTTCTGACGAGCAGCACATGTTGGAAAGAGAGGGAAATTAAAGAAAAAGTGCTTGGACACACACACCCACACAGAGAGAAGGAGAGGGAGAGAGAGAGAGAGAGAAGGAGAGAGGGAAATAGAGATAAATACATAAATACAGGCCTACCTTTCTGCTCAGACAACAGGAAGAAACGTATGAAACGTGTGAGCGATAAATAAAAGGAAGAGCACTTGACTCGCACTTTGAACATCTATGGACTTCTGTTGGCAGTGTGTGGCACCAGAATCCCGCCGTGGCAGTCTTACAAGTCTTACACAACTAAAAGCTGACAGGGAGAGGGAGCGTTGTGCAATAAAATAAGCAGAAACGCCACATTGTATAGAGGAGAGAGGAGGAGCACAGTCCGACAGACTAGACAGACACACGTCTGCTAAGAGTAACAAAGTGACGGAGTTAATCCGCTTCACAGCATTTAACCAAAAAAAAAAACCCCAACTGCCTCTTACCTCAGGCAATCTGCCCCTCTATACAACCTCATCAATATTCCCAACAATCCACCAACACCTCCCCTGCCCTCCTCCTCCTCCACACACTGTCGCCATTTTATACATAGGCGACTTCATATAAAACTGCCTTGACTACAGCACCACATGAAAATGCCATATCGAACAGCGAGCCATGATTATAGCAAATAAGTTTGGGAAGCTCCCTCCTCTCTAATACCCCACAGGCGTTTCTGGTCGTTCGGGAAGAGTGGATGTGTCCTTACCTCATCGGTCGGCGGGCAAAAATGGAATCCGACATTAATGTGTAAATGAATAATATCGGATTAGCTCTGAACGTTGCGCTTTGAGTAGAGGAGGCGAGCGAGGGGGAGGGAGTTCTGCGTCTCCTTAAGTGAACCCGCTGAACTGGCGTGAACCCGTCACTGACCACGGCGTGGTACATTACATTACAGTCATGTAAGTCCGGGTGCGTGGACACAACACACAGCCGCGGTCGCTGCAGGACGAATGAAAAAAAGAGAAAAATGATAGCGAGTGTGTGTTTCCGATGAACACGTGATTCGGAGCGTCATCCAAAATCCGAAAGCCCTTTCATCTCAAATTTTGGAGAGGGGCGGTGTGTATGTGTAAGCGGCTGTGTATTCACGTTGCACTCCAACAGTACAGTTGTTTGTCTTGAAGTCGCTTTAAGTTATATCTGGTTTTGTTGTCAAAAACACACTCGTTGTTCTTAGCCTGTCCCGGTGTTGCCACAAATCCCCCTCTGAGCAGCACTTATGTAGCGACGTGCTCCCCAGCATCCGTCTGTCAGCTGGGGCGACGTCTGAGCACATATGACCCAGACGTCACATCTACAGATGGGTCGTTCCACTGTGAAGACATCCATACCACCCGAGTCTCTGTTGTGCCAAATATGGTAAGACATTGTCGGTGAGGGGGACCCACGGTGAAAGAGCAGTTAATTCGCTTGCCTTACAGCATAAAGGTCACTGATTCGTTTTTTGATGTTTATTGATGACCTTTCTGTAGTGTATTTACCATGTGTGCAGTGGTGTTCACAGAGTAGATTAGTATTTTATTATTATCATTACTCTTGTCATTTTAATAATATATTATTATTGTTATATTATTTTGTGTTTCAATCCTAACGAAAATTGTGCTAAATTACTGTAACCTGATTGGTTTATATTGGTTTAGAGGACATAGCTATATATACATATACACATATTACATATGTGCAAGTGATTTTTTTTAACTTTATTTTTACAGAATATGCTACCAAACAATGTGTATATTTATTGTTACTTCATTCAATCAGCTTCTATTGTTCATAACGAGTGTACTTGTAAACAGATTCGGCCAATTCTGCAGGATTTTCCGTAATGCACTGAATTCTATGTTTTTGTCCAAGATCTTTATATACGTTTATGTAAAAAATAGTAATTTTTTCATTATTAAATGTCTGGGCATCACACAACAGTGAATACTGGTGTTTTAAATGTGTTATGCCATGTATGCATTCAAATTCAGCTCCAAAGGTGCGCCTTCTAGTGGCAACAGAAAATGAGATATTTAAGCACTATTCACAGAAGCATGATAATGTCCTCTCGAAACATGGTCGGGGTACTCAAAGATACATTTTTTTGTAAGTACCATGATGCCGCAATGATGTTGCCATGGTAATGACATTTATATGAAGGATATGTTAGCCCAGAAGAGGCTTACTTAACAATCTAAAAAATGGCCATATCTTTACAAGTTAATCCAATATACTCCAAAACAAGTTGCAAAATCCACTCACTTGACAACAAAAGTGCACATAGATGGTAGCCAGCCTCATCCCTGGCAATTAGAAAAGTGTTGCTAAGACCAGAAGGACTGACCACCACGACACAGATGCATCTTTTGCTTTTTATACAGGTTAATTACAGTTGAGGATAAAAAAACCCTTCTCTCATTTAAATATACACAAATAATTTTCCATAATTTCTTTTACACAGAGGAACAATATTATTATTAAAATATTACAATATTATAAATATATTATAAAATATTGTTATTTTATAACAACCAATAATATCAAGTTAAAAATGTTAGTGCCTTAACCCCCTCAAATATTTACAGGGTATTTAATTAATAATGAGCTTTAACTTTCAGATTATTGCTGAATAAAATCAGGTTCCCTGGAATGGAAATGAAAGGTAAGAGTCATTTAAAGAACCCCTTGAAGAAAGAAAAATAAACCCTCCTGGTTATTTAATACCTTTTGCCTGTATATTGAAAAGACATGCTAAAGTAATTACCAATACAAAACCAGAAATGTAAAACCTCTGTTTAATTCATATTAGTATATTGCTGAAACTAGAGTTAATGTTCAGGATGTACGAGACTATTTAGAGAAAAACAAACATAACATAGACATAAATTACAATCACACTTGGTGATATGATACGTATCACAATACAGTGGTAACATTACAATATATAACAACATACTGCAATACTATAGGGCAGTGTTTCCCAACCTTTTTTGTGCCACGGTACATATTTATCATCAGGAAAAACCCCACGCACCACCAAACAAAAATCACACCTAATGATCTCTCACGGCACACTAGTGTGCCACGGCCCAGGGGTTGGGAATCATTGCTTTAGGGATGACGATATATAGTTTTTTATCATATCAATGTTTTCTTACATCCCTATTTCCTGTGACTTCAAACAGCACCATAATAAGCTGTTAGAAACAGTGAAGAATGACACGCGTACGGACAGATGGGACCAAATATTTTAGTGTGTTTGTTTTCATCTGGCATCTGTGCTGAGAAAAAGATATTTGCTATACTGTCACACTGCATGTACAATTTAGAAAGTGAGAAGAGGGTTGTGTCTGTACTGGGCCTGTGTGTATCCTTCCATTTAGGATAAATTGTTTAAATTAATAATAATAAATTAATAAACTACTAATGAAAACAATTTTAATGCAAACAGGTCTTCAAGGACACTTCCACAGTGTTGTAAATTTGATGTAGTCATTTCATCATCTGGTTATTTGGTGGGTCTAAGTCCTTTTATGGCTATTTCTTATTTACTACTTATTCTTCCTGGGCCTCAACACATACGTACAACCATTTGTTTTATACAGTTAAGGGAACTGGACACTAAAAACAGTCCCATTGATCACTTTGAGAAATGGAGCCGATAGAGAAGAAAAATGCAAATAGCAGAAAGCTTGGCCAGCAAGTGAGATGCTACTCTGCTAATTGCAAAAAGACAATCTGTAAAGTAACATATATTTATATGACAGGAAATGGTGCATGTAGAATTGCTTCCGAATCCAATGGAACTAATACTGGCCTACAACCATACAGTATATTAAATGGCATTGATAAGTCAATCCCTGACATTTTGCCTATTCATTTACTGTAAATAAGAAACCAGCTCTACATAAAGACAGATGCAGACTAGTTTATCATTAAGTGAATTTGTCATTTCACCCATACACAGACATACACACCCTGGATTTAACCCAACCATGAAAAAGAAGCCACGGCTGCCACTTTGCAGTGCCCAGTAGTGGGGAACGTATTTGGTGTTTGCCTAACACAACATATCCTGTTTATCAGCAATCCTACATTCTTGTACAATAACGTAATGCTCAGATGTTCTGGCATCATTTTCTCAAAATAGACCATGAAATACTGCTGGTTATAATGTATACAAGCTGACAAGACTGACAAATACCACCTGCAACCAGACTTAGCAATACAGAATTAAAATATATATATATACTGTATATATTTAAAAACTTCACAACATCCAAGGTTGTTAACTGCAGTGATCTATGCCTTTTGCCACTCCTCTCTGCTAATCATTGTCATCCTGCTCACCTGTAACTAATAAACTGGTTGTTTATCTGCCGACTGCTTTGTGCACAATGTTTCCTTGTTTCCTTCCTCCCGACTTCAATAGATTGTAGTCAATCCTAAGCATTTGTTGATTATATTTAGATCACTCTCACCTGCCTACACGAACTGTGGGTTATCTGTTGGCATTCTTTAAAGGTGTTGAACTTGGCTTCCTGTGTGTTTTTGGTGCAAATGAGTCTACCTATGCTCATTACATTTACCATCTAAGGCTGGGTTACGCGTATGGCGTTTGGCATGTTCAGTGTGTGACGTACTCTCCTGTCAGCATCTATTTATCTGACTAACCCCTTTGATCAGTAGCAGATGCTGCAGTCAATAATGTCAATAAATGTCATTGGCATTAAAGTCAATTTGTTGACTAATAATTACTTATTATTTATTTTGTATTTCTGTAATGTAAACTCAGATTGAAAACACAAACAGTGAATGTCAATTTTAAAGAAGAATTTTAATAGTGAAGACACAATCCTACTTTACACTTTATTGACCACGGAATTCATAGTAAATATTACCTATTTTTGGAACGGAACTTCCTGTTGTTTTATGTGTTTCTAGTTCCGGTCTACTTTACTTTGGCAACCTGACAACCGGGTGGCTGCACCTATTTCTCGCACAGGTTGTTTTGGGGGTGGGACCGGGGGAGGGCGTGGCGGAGGGAAGTGCAGTACAGTAGTTCGGTTTAAACGAACCAATGAGAGCAGCCTGACATGAGAGTGACAGTGACTCCACGACACCGGAGAGGCGGCTCAGAGACGAGCAGCCAATACGGGCTCTGGGTGAACACAAACGGAGGGAAAAGACAAAATAACGTCGCGTCTCCTTGTAGGAGCGAACGTTTACCTGTCATCTGTGTGTGAGGAAAAAAGCAAAGTAAGGAGAAGACACCATGAATTTGTCTCAGTGCTGGGAAGATTCACCTTTGAGACTCGGATTGAAACAACCAGGAGGCAAGGAAGTGAGTTTAAAAGAAGTGTACAATGAGCGCCACCGACTGGCCTTGGAGGAGCTGCTCTCCGGAGGAGTCCAACGCTTTCTGGACTTCTTGAGTAAAGAAGGGCTGCCGAACTTTTTGTCAGACGATGAGATCCAACGGATCAGCAGCGCAGCAGTGTCGCCCCGCTTCGCACACAGCCACGTCGGCGAGGAGCAGTCGTTAAGCAGCGCCGTGGACTGTTCCTCTGTCACCTACTTCCCAGATGTCTCTGACTTGGAGCCGCCGATGCTGGAACTAGGCTGGCCAGCCTTCACAGCTGGCTCGTACCGGGGAGTGACCCGGGCCGTGGCGTACTTCCAGCCCAGTTATGGAGAGAGCATATACAGCTGCAAGGAAGCCGTGAGACGAATGATTAAAAGTGCCAGAGAGGTAAGAGAACATCAGCCCTGATAACTGTGCTATTCTACAACAGCAGGTCAACACTGTAGCAATGACAGCCTTGACCCCACCACACACACACACACACACACACACACTCGTCAACATGTATCGTATAAAGTAGTATTGTGTTAAACTTAGCCTTAAATAATATACATGTGTGTAATATAATATGAACATGTGCATGTAGGGTGGTCGTGACACCGGCTTTTATAAATCCACCTTCCAGCTGATCCCCAGGCCAGTTTCCACACCGTCTGTCGGTTTCATATCTAAAGATACTAAATAATGTTGTCGAATTTGTATTAAAAAAAAACCCAAACTTTTTTTGAACACCTTGTAATTTATGTTTTACTAAAACAAATCTATTTACGTGAAAGCACACGTTCATCTTCACCCTCCAGTGAACTGCAGGCCAACCCGTCAACCAGTCCATGATATATATTTTATATAAAAATATATAACTATGGGCTAATGAAAATTTAAACTATAAAAGCTTTAGTGAACATTTTCATACTACTTCTTCCAGTTAAAATAAATTATTAAAGTATTGTAAATTATATTATTTAATTTATTATATATTAATCAACAAAGTAGTTGTTGGTGATTTCAATACAATGTATTTTTATTGTTGTAGTCAATTAGTCTTTGATCAGCTGACTCATCCGTGGCTGGGCCTACACTGTACCAATGACTCGATATCAAATGTCTTTAGATTTTCTGTATTTATGGCGGGTTAATGTGTAGCTGTTTGATCGAAATGCAGAAAGACCTTTTAATCTTAAACCTCTAAAATCTAATCTCTCAGTTTCAATCTACCAAAATATAAGAAATACCAGATTAATCCAGTTGAATTGATGGGTTTACTGAGGACAAGCAGACCAAAGACACAGAGACTAAGCATTGACTTTAAGCCTTGTGTTCCTCTTGGTAGTTGTAAATGCAGTCTTCTGATATAAAATGGAATTTTCCAGAACCAAGCATGTGATGTGAATCTGTGGCTTCTGCAACACCTCAGGCCTGTGCAACAGATGTGCCTGAACTTGCTTCACTTCACTCTGTGAAAGATTGAATTCCACTTTTATTAGAACCCTAAACCCTAACTGAATTATTTTTCTGCCATAAGTCCAAAAACAGCAGTGTACGTGATTGTCGTTAGACTTGAACCTTGTTTAAAAAGCGTTTTGTTACGTTAAACCCTTCATGACACTCTCTTTTGTCTCTTTCAGTCTCTTTTGTGCAGAGAAGCTGACTGTTAACAATGTCCACAATGAACCTAGTCAGTCTACAGAAAGTGCCTGGAAACAACAAGCTTGTTTCTTCCTTAAAAACTTCATTCTTGAAAACGAGTGAGACCGAAGCTACAATCCAAACAAGGCTTGAGCTTCAGACAAAGGAAATATGCAAACATCTGTGTCTTATCCTTGCAACACAAGCCTTATGGCAGCCTCTTGAGTTTTATTCCATTGCCAAGCAATGACCAGAGGCCTGTGCACCTCTTCATACATGAAGTACGACTGGACTAACTTAGGATGTAGCTGTTAGATTTCTGGTAAACAGAAGGAACGGCGAATAGAAGAAAGTGTGTGAATGACAGACAGATTTTTTTTTGTACATATAGTTATGACTGACATGCCTTCACATTTTTAGGACTAAATGTGATTATCATATGTACTTGTATCGCTCAAATTATATTGCTTCAGGTAGCTGTCAAATTGTTGAAGGGGTTAAAAGAATTTGCCATGATATGTTCAAACTACGGCCCAAATAAAGCTCCCACACTGCTCCTGATTGTGTACTGCATTAACATCTTTTGATTGCTGACAAGCATTGCTGCAGATTTCCATGGAAACAGAACACAGTCAATAGACAGCTCATCAGAACACCTTTCGGAGCCGAGGCCCTTTTTCTATTTCTTGAAAATAAAAATAATAGAGACACAACCAAATGTTTCATATGCACAGCTGAGGCTGTGAAAACAGAATTTAATTATATCCTCTCCTCTGTGGTCCTCTCCTGCAGGTTATTGCTATAGTTACAGACTCTCTGACAGACCTAGAAATCTTCAAAGATCTTCAGGAGGCCAGCGCCCAACGCAAAGTACCCGTCTACATCCTGTTGGACCTAATATGTGCTCCTGCCTTTCTCAAGATGTGCAGGAATCTTGGTGTTCGCCTGGATGACCTCCAGGTATGTAGACAACTCAGTAAAACAGCCCTGTGTTAACCACACAAACATTAGATGACAACACATTTAAATATTGTGACCTCGTTCAACTGGTTTAAGACAAAAACATTAAAAAGGTCTGATGAGAGAGCATTGAAGTGGAGCAAAGATGATCCTGTCAGTGACACTCAGCACAAAACCATTTTGTAATATGTTTTTCAACAGTCGATGGTACAGAGACCTTTTTATTTCTCTTTCCTCTGAATCTGGTCCCATCTCTGTTTTGATTCCTTATAGCACATGAGAGTACGAACTGTAACTGGCTCAACTTACTACACGCGATCTGGAGCGAAGATTACAGGGAATGTTCATGAAAGGTTCATGCTGATTGATGGGAATAAAGTAGCTACAGGTTCCTACAGGTAACAAACACACACACTGGACACATTTGGATTTTCATTGATACAATCTTTTTGCTTTTGACTTGATGGACCATTATAGGTGTTGATTAAAAGTGGTGTAAACGTCAAAACAAACAGCAGTGGCCCTGTCATACTCCTCAAGATGTGTCTATTTGTTAGAATTTTTTTACAGCTAATGTTGCAGGTCATCTGAGCCCTGAACAATTAGGTTTCACTCAGCTGATACTGTGACAACGAGTGTTAGGAATGTTTCTTTTTAAATGTATTCCCTTTTGTCTGTGAGTGGAGAGCAGGCAGGGTATCCAGCCTGTGGCAGGTAGACGGCTGCATCACAAACGCACCAGCAGGCTGTCTGTGTGTCTACAGTTATAAAACCATTATTAGACTAAAACAATAAAAGGTCTAATATGTTCCTCAGATACATCATCTGGGACAACTACCTTTTCACTTTCAATCCTGCTTAAAGATGCTTTCAGTCCCTATCTTCCATTTACTCTGCCATCTGTCCTCAGCTCTGTTATTATCCTCTTTCATTAGCTGCACAGAGAACTCCTTCCATGTTCTAGCCTGTGGCCTTGTGGTAAGAGGATCAGGCTTGTTGTCAGAGAATCACAGGTAGAATTCTGCCCATGGCTGACTGGGTGTGTTAAGCAAGCACCCAATTCTGTTGCTCTCCAAGGATGGGTTTAAAGAGGGTAAATGTTGTGTCTGTTTTTGTACACTTCTTTAACTGGCATTTCTCTGCTTCATCAGCCTTTGTTTTCCCCACCACTTGTTCAATAACATATCCTACTCTTCTGGTGCATAAGCACTGATAGCATTGAACCATAAACCTTTCCACAAGCTTTTTTTTCCAAAGTGAATCACGCATGGCTTTGTTATCTCTACATGTACTCCCCTGAATGCTATACATAACGTTTGACAGACCACTACCATTAACAGCTGTTGGCCTTAACTGACATTGTCCTTGCTCCATTCTCCCAGGCTGATAATGGCACCAGGGCCAGGCATTGTTACCCTGTAACCAATCTGCTCTGACATGTCATTTTATTCCCCCACATGTGTTTTGTGCCTGCAGGTGCCTTTGCAAAGCAATCCTCACTAAATTATACCAGCTTGGAATCTGAATAGGAGGAGAAACCAATTTATTTTATTTCCAGTTATTTTTACACCACGTACTACGTGCTGAATTATTTTTTTTATCACTAGGTTTATAAAACTCACAAAATTAACCAGGCTCAAAAAAAAAAATCCAAATATATCTCAGATTTAGTTAGTACCTACCTTTAGTCATTTGTCAATATGGATTCCTTTCAGGTTTGACTGGACTGATGGCAAGCTGAACAGCAGCAATCTTGTGGAACTTTCAGGCCAGATTACAGAGAAATTTGATGAGGAGTTTCGCATCCTCTACGCTCAGTCTCTGCCCATAAATACCCACGTGTCTCCCGTTGTTGGAAACATCACTGAGCAAATGATCAAAGCGTCAGTCCCCTCATCCCCTGCTCTGACCAGAGTCAGAGCTGTGGAGCCAGTGTGTCTGACCAGCACACCTAACCACAAACTCCAACGTGTAGCAGAACAGCACATGTGTGAATCTCCAGCTGCAGCTCGTGGTGAAATCTGCCTAGCACCAAGCGTTTCTGCCACAGGTGAGAAGTGGAATGAGCTGCAGCACATGCAGGGAGAGGAGATCCTGGCCGGCTGCACAACCCAGCTTTTTCCTGCAGACCAGATGGTGGAAAAAGAAGCAGCGACGACCGGTGCTACGGCCTGTAATGCCTTCACTCAGACCAGCAGGTTAGTTGCTGACGGTGTCACTCAAACTGATCAGACAGCCGCAGATCATCCTGACGTCATCACACAGTCAAACACTAGAGCAGACAAAAATACATTGTCCTCATTCACACCATCCAGACACAAAATACCCATATTGCCACCTCCAGACAACACCCTGAAGGACTGCTTCCAAAAGCTGGCCAGAGAGCGTCAATACTACTACTGTTCAATCCGATCCAAGCTGGAACACATGGTGACCACACTGTCCCAGAGGCAGGAACTGGGTGACATCAGCAACATGGCTCTGGGGCTTGGCACCCACAGCAGGCAGAGGGTACACAAAGACTGGAAGGAGGAGCCAAATCCCAGAATGCTTGTTGAGGGCGTGGGCACATGGCCAAGGTCCAGATGTATGCACTAGTCGGTTTGAGGGGATGTTGGAGATGGGAGGTGGAGGGCAAAGTGCTTCAGCTGGGTTTCTTCTGGATCCTATGTTTCACATTAACACGTGTGGCTAATGCAGTAGAGTTTTAGTTTGTCTTCTTTAGCTGCAGTGCCCATTTCTATGATGCTGCGTCCTGTACATTTTGAACTGATTTCTGGTGAAATAGCTAATCTTGATTGCAACACTGCATAAAGTCTTCAAACACTGAGTAGTCATGGCTCTTTTGACTTTATATGTTCGATAATTTCATTTGTGGAGGAGGTTGGAAGTGACTAATGTAAACTGTAGTGATTGACACCGGCCCAGATGCTGGTTTAGAGATTAACATCACATTTGCCTGCTGTAACTACGTGTTCATCCTTCTTTGAGCAGCTCCATGGCTGTAACGCCACCTTGTGAAAAAATAAAGTATTTGGTAAGCGATGGCATTTTTGGTTACTTTTTCATTTTTTAAATTTTTTTTTCCATGGCCTTGTTGTACCTCCCCCCCACCTCCCACCTCCCACCGCTACTTCTGACAACTGAGGCAGCGTCATCGAGGACCTGTTCCAGTAAGCAGTGTCAAGTTGATTAACGTTTGTTTGTTTTATTGTTTATTTGAAAGTGACAGCTTATGTAGAAGCTCACTGACACATCAGCTGTTTAATTGACCTGATACCAAATGTATATTTTCATCACAGATTTATTGGAGATATTATTTTTAACTTAATTGAAAAATAAGAAATGTATAGCTTAACTTATAACTTAAAACAAATGGTTTATATACATGTGTATATATATGTATATATATACATATATTAACCATTTGTTTTAAGTTATAAGGTAAGCTGTCTCATTTTATTTATATATATATATCAATATATATATCAATATATATATATATATATTCTCCCATCTGTTTTATGTGGGACAAAATAGTTAAACCAAGTGGTTAAAATAAATTCTTAGACAGTAATAACCCACAAGATGCTAAATTGTAATATTTATCGAATTCAATAATACTTTTTTTTTTATTTGTTGTAAAAAGACAAGTTAGAGGCCACTAATTATTATATGTTGGACTCAGGACTCCTTCCTTAGATTGCATGTAAAGAATAATCAGGTGCCGATCCCAGAAGTCAAAGAGCGAGGGTGACGACACCGGAACAAGTCACCCGTCCGTCGCAGGGTCACATGTTGAGACACAACCATTCACGGTCAAATTCAGACCTATGGTCAATTTAAAGATCCCCCTAAACCTAATCCACAGATGATCGTATTCTTAGGCTGTCAGAGGAACAGTGTACCCGGAGGGAAAAAACAACGCAGACGCGGCGAAAACATAGAAACTCCAACAACAATATATTGCTGAAGCTATTTACAAGATTGAAGCAAACGTTCGTTTACGCACGCACATTTCTCTGGTCTGCACGTGATCTGCGTGGCTCGTGTTTTAATGCAGTCAGTAACGGAATTCAACCACCAGAGGGCAACCTGTCCTTATTTAACTCATGTTCATTGCTTTTTTTTGTTTAGTTTACAGTAACAAAGGTTGAAGGTCTGGAAACGCTGAAGCTTTGACTGGAACATCACGTGAGTCTTTAAAATTAGACTGCATTAAATGGACTGTAAAAAATATTTTTTACACGACAAGACAAAGTAACGGCAAAGCTAAAGGTCAGCAGAAAAGGGGTTTGTTATATGAAAAGTCAGGTTAAGCAAACTTGGCCCTTAACCTTCTTAAATACATCCAGAAAACAGAGCCACAAACAAAGTATAAATACAGTTTAAATTATAAATAGCTCAAGGTTTTTGGAATTTTACTCACCTTCACCCCAACTAAAACGTAGTAGTAGTAGTAGTAGTTCTAATTATGTTAGCAAAACAGCTTAAAAATGATAGTTAGAAGATAGAAATGGATGTATTAGCCAAACAGTTAGAGAGGAACTCACAGTTGACCAGAACTGGGTTAAATAAGCACAAGAATTTAGCAGGAAGTAAAAATAAACTTAAAAGTGTTTAAGCTAAGCTAAGCTAAGAGCAACTCAGTAAATTACAAGCAATTGCTACTACAGCAGCTGAGTCTAACTACTACAACAGTTCAACTCTACCACAGGAGCTACATCTGACAATAGCTAGATTCTGTTTCAAGGGCTGAATCCTGCTGTAAGGGAATTATATTAGAATAGGTGGAAGCTACTAGATGAGCTAAGTCTGGTAAAAGCTAAACTCTACTACAAGCTGAATTTGAATACTATGCAATGCAACACATCTTATTGTTTTAAAATGTAATAATTGATGTTTTTTGTGCATTTTGAATCTTCCATGGAAAATTATTCCTATTAAGAGTATTGGTTTATTGCTTGTGTAAAAATATAATACATTTGAGTCAGTCTGATATTAAGGTTTTGACTAATGACCCTGACTGACTGACTGACTGACTGACCGACCGACCACTCACTGACTAACAGACTGGTAGATTGAAAGACTGAATGACTGATTGTTAAATGTCTCTCCTGATAGTGACATAAACCTTTAATTACTGCAAACATGGCTGGTGAGTTGGAGTTTGATGACCTGGCCTTCATTAGCCGGGGTGTCAGCTGCAGTGACTCCCACAGGTGCCGTTCGCTCCTTTAAACACTTACGGCAGCTGCATTTCGACACACACAAATTTGCATTACAGCCACCGTATGGCAGTTGTGTCCAGTGTATGGCACAGGGGGATAATCTAGGCACCTGTGTGGATTTTATGTGGCACACACCTCTTATAAGATTATATTAAATGTCTTATCACCATGGTTTGATGTATTTAAAACATATTTTAATGGCTTTTTTAATTTTATTAATTGTATTAATAACTCTTAAGATTCATGAGAAATTTTAATTGCTCTGCTGCTAGGCTAACTTTAAGCTATGTTATTGGTATATATTTCTCATTGTGTGTTTGTTTATGCTCTGGTGACAGCTGTCAATTTCTGGGTCAATGTTACACTTTTGAATGATAACCTTTGCCACTTTATACCTTTTTCTGCTGTGTTTTTCAGCAAACTTCAACTTTTTGATTTGCTTTTGTTTTGTTTATTGTTTTGTTGTTGTTGTTTGTGTGCTACTCATAGTTCACTTTTACACCTTCTCTTCTTGATAAATACATAAACATTACATTAGGGCACTAATTGCGTTCATTTATTTGTCCAAGTGAATCGGGTTAAAATCTGTAACACATTTTATAGCACGGGCAGGATGTGCACTGTATAGCCCACGATTCCACTGTTCATCCACTTACTGTTACTCTGGTATGCTGTCAGTATGGTGTAAAATACCATATCAACCAGCAGAAGCATAAATGTAATCATAAACAGTCAGACACACTAGACTAGCCTCACCACAGGAGGTCTACAGTTGACAAAATGACCAACAACATTGTCAAATTTATTGTGAGTTAATATTTCACCCAAGATTTATTCAAGTAGTGAACATGGTTATGTTCACATTATTAATGGTTTGCTATTTTTGTTGTTTTTGCTGTCTTTAAGCTCCTTAGGAACTAACGAGGCTAAAGCAGCGTGGTACTATATGTAGTTACATTTTAGATTAACTAAACCTTCTGTATTTTATAATCAAATTTCAAATATTTTTGAGATTTCTTTTGTTGCTATTTTGGGGCTGACAACCCTTCACTTGCTCTGATTTATAAAGGTCTTTAATAAAATGCGTGCAACCAAGTAAAGGAAATATGACCCATAGCTTTGTGTTTATGTGTAACTTGTTTATGAGACCTTGTGCATCTGGATGCGATCACTCAGACTTTTTATTATCGTGGAACATGTGTCGACTTATGCTGAAGTTTCAGTCTGTCTTTCAGCTGAATTCTTTCAGTTTGTCATTTCCAGGACCAAAACTAACCATAGAGAAGAACAAAACACTGATAAGATGTGTGTTTGTTTGCTGAGTTCAACTTTGTTGCCACCTTGGCCTTGTTTTCCATGTGGGCAAAGAAGGGAGCATTCTGTCTCAGGCCACCACTCACTGATAACCACTGCTCTGCTTAGTGGAAAATGAAGTCCTCCTGGATGACGCGTTCAGGATCTAGCCGTTGTTTGTGCCAGTGACTCAGACTGAGCAATGACAGTGGTGCTCATACAGTTTGCACAACAGAGAGTCACTTCCCGCTGTACTGCTGATGCACTGCCGTAGCTGCAAATACTGCAGGTGCAAAATGTACTGTTGTGTGAAGCTGCATGTTAAGACTTAAAAACAAGTTGTCCAGCAGTGGACTCAGCAACAGCATTAGCAGCATGGTGAGTAGCAGCACCATTAGCAGCAGCAGCCTGGAGACTATTTTTAGGTGGCACAGCTGCTCCTCAGCACCCAGTCTTAAAGCAGCCATTCACTGGAGATTTATAGCACACACAGGCCCTGCACCAACAGATGTAGCTTCGTTGGCCACTTGCTAAACCAGTGAAGCACAAGCAGAGGTCCTACACACCGCACAGGATTTAGTCTGGTCCTTTTTCACAGCACATGACACTGGCTAAAACATAAATCAAAGTTGGGCCACAGTTAGCTAAAAGCTAGCTTCAACACAGCGGTGTTAAAATTATTTATATATATATATAATACAGTTAGTTAAAAATAACAAAATTATATATAATAGGTCTTATTATAATTGTATTATTCAATGTTATTAATAATAATACTAATAAAAAATTTCACTTAACATTAATAAAAAAGAATGTCAAGCCTAAGAATAGCTTAAGTTATTTAAAAAAGGGAATTTAGTCATAATAACTAATTATTATGACTAAATTCCCTAACTATTATTTTATTATTCAATGTTATTAATAATAATACTAATAAAAAATTTCACTTAACATTAATAAAAAAGAATGTCAAGCCTAAGAATAGCTTAAGTTAATTAAAAAAGGGAATTTAGTCATAATAACTAATTATCTAAACCTTAACAAGTAAATGTATGAATACATGAATTATTTAATAATAAATTAATTTAAGGTCTTTTATTTTAATCTAAAGTAAAGTAGTAAAGCCTCTAAAGGAATATTTTTCAATAATAATTCAAAAATCTCAGATTTGCCCTTTAGAATAATAAATCCAAATTAATATCTGACTTATCATGTTGACCTCACATTTAAGATGTGTCCGTGCTGCTTGGTTTGATCTTTCTCTTTTCTTCTTTTGACAAACTCTCTCCTTCCATTTATATAAACACCGGTTCATCCCACTGTACAGTCTGGACTTTCCAGTTCTGCGGCCACAGAACAAAAAAAACTAAATGTTGCTATGTCAGTTATTGCCACCTCAATATTAAATGCCAACAAAGCTGAGGTTTCAGGCCAAGGCCATTCGTAGACCACCAAGGTCACAGTGACACCTGGATCCAGCAAAAGCTAAACACTTCCCCCCAACTATCACACTGTAGTTACACTTT